GGTGCTATCATAGTTGCGATAGGGGGAGTGATGGATCTTACCCCCTTCACTTTGAGGCCAAACTCCGGACGACCCCCTTCACCTAGGCTGAGGTTGGTATTGTACTCTGAAAATATAAAATGAAAATCGTTATTGAAAGGTTTCGTAGGCTGAGTGCCTCAAAGAGCAAGTACACATAGATTTACAAACATTTATTCATAAAAAACATTTACAAGAGTATATATTCTTTCTTAGCCGTGGCAAATACTTCTCTAAGCGTGACATTTCCATGAAAGTTATACAGTCTGATTTTCGGAATGTATTCATCACTCCTTGCTATCAGAGCTACAATTCTTTCGAGTACAATGCGACGCGATCCTTCACTAATAATTGTAAGTTTTCCGAAATGAAGAGGGACGTCCGGCAGGTCTCTCAGGCAGCGAACTTGTTGATGAGTCCAATGTCCGGCTTAACACAAATTCTCCATCTCCATACACCCGAGTAGCATTTGAGAATCATTGATGAACTGACCCATCAAAGGCGGCGTAGTTTATGTCGCAGAATTTGCCAATCGCGAAACTAAACATTTGTTTATAAAATCTAGTCCAATCTGTCGCGTACGCGTCTCGAAAGAGGCGTGGTCACGGCGGCGGCCAGCGCAAGTCAGTCGCAATGGAAAGCTCATACGCAATGGTGACTCGGATCGTAATCATGTGAGATTTCTTGTATTGTGATTGTGGTAATGCTAAAGATTACCTAAATGAGTCTTAGGAGTTTTCCACATGGTGCATCGGCCGGGAAGTATGAATGCCCTGCACTCTGGTACACCATGCCCCAAAAAGGTATGGTTGACAGCACCGCTCCTTCGTCCCAACCGATGCTCTTGACATAAGGGGAGTGTATCAACACTGAGGATGGTCCATTCTTTATTGATGCAAGCCGTTTTTGAAGAGTGGTCTCGAATCGCCAAACTCGGGGTTTGTGTTCTGTCCTCGTTGTATGTGAGGCTCGAATGTGTGGGATTACTTTCTGATCTTGATCTGGGTATTCTTGAATGGAGTCGACATTCATGCACAAATAATGTTTCGCTCCGCGGGCTCATCGGCGCCTAATCGTCCTCAGACTACCAGCGGCGCTCTCCGTCCCGGCTTACTGCGTAATGGATCAACCCCCCGCCTATCGGCTGACAGGTAAGGTTGACTTTCGTCGAGACTAAACATTCGTTTATGAAATCTAGCCCAATCTAGGATTAATGCCAACTTTATGGGGTGCCTACTCCAATTTACAATTATGTCCCCCCACAGATCCATTGTGACGGCTCGCAGACAAATATTTCAAATCCATTTTGCCGTAAGTATCCGAATCATTCCTGTAGCAATCTTTTTAATCCTGACTTTTTCATCTTTCAATACATCGTAGTTGTAGTATAAGCCAAATCTTATCTTGCAGCGGCCATACCTTTATTAAAACGCTTTTCACATGGTCCGATCCTACCTTGTTCCAAATCAGTGAATTCAGTGGTAAAGTGATCATTTTATCTAATCCAAGCTTCTTGAAGTGAATCGTTGTGCGTGCTGATGCTCTTACTTGATTGAAACAATCGAACAAAGTCCATTTACTTTCTCGCTATTTGAAACTCCTCTTTAGCTAGATTCTTGTTCTTGCTAGCGTTAACTTGGAATGCTTCTTCGGTTCTCCTCATTTCGTATCTTCTGAAAAGATGACTGACTACTTTTTAGCTGTCTGATGCTTCTTCTTCGCTTGAAAATGGAGAGCACAACGGAGAATTGTGCCAGTTCGAATAAATCCGTCGAAAACCTCTCTTCCTTGTGAATTATTCCTTTTCTTCGGAAGCTGCACGACCGTGGAAGCTGCACGACCGTAGAAGATGAATCATTTTTTTTTACTTGAAGTGCTTTGCACTCACAGTTTTCCAGTCAAACAGAGTCCCGCGCTTGAGGCCCTGAGGTGAAAATTGAGCATGTTTATGATTTCTGCTTCGCTAAAAAATCTTCCAAATGAAGGAAGTTCACGAATCATCATGGTACCAACGATAGGGGTGCACTGTATTTCGACGATGCATCATCTCGTCTAAGTTAAACAATTGTTGTTTGTATATGCACATGTTCGCGAAACAGTTCAGGAATGTTGTTATTGCGCACCCTGATGGATTCTCCTGGGTAGCACGATAGGAGTAATTGCTATATACAAATTGTTACATATTGAACAAAATGTTACATATAGAGTACAGGTCGAAATGTATTAGTCCAATGTCCGCCTCAACATATATCCTCCATCACCATATATCCGGGTAACACTTGAGAAACAGGTCCATTTTGGATGAACTGACCCATTATAGGCGGCGTAATCCATGTCACAAAATTTTCATCGCGAAACTAAACATTATAGAATTTAGCTCAATCAGAGTAGGATTTATAACAACTTTCATGCGGTGCCTACTCCATTTCATAATTATGCGTCCCAGATGTCCATTATGACGGCTCGCAGACCAATACTCAAATCCATTTCGCCGTAAGGACCCCAGTCTTTCCTTTAGCGAACTTTTTAATCCTGATCTTCTCATCTTTCAGTACTTCGTAGAATGTTGTTGTATAAGCCAAATCTTATCTTTCAGCGGCCATACCTTTATTAAAACGCTTTTTACATGGTCCAGTTTTGGTTTGTTCCATATCCTTATACATATCAACCTTAGTATAAATCTTTGGTCGGTAATAGAGTTTTGCAGCTATACTGGGGTCAGTATCTTCAATTGTTGAAGAGGCCCAGGTTACTGGTTGTATTCCTGTGCCCATAAATCCAATGGTCCTTCTTGTTTCATATGTGGCCACTCAACAAAATAATACTCCAACATGTTAGCTTCTTCCAGAGTGACCAAACCCATTACAGTTTTTTGAACTCCCAGCCATCTTAAGTCGTCCACATTTCTCAGGAGTCCAAACAAGATAATCGTGCAGATTTTTTTTCACAACCACTCTAGATGCAAATCCGGTATCTTCACCTTGTAAATGTGCCTTAATCAAGGCAAGGGGAAGATTTTTTTGAGGAAAATCATCGTACATCCAGCATACTGTCAAGCATATCCCGGCCGAAATGGATCATTCACACGTCTAGGATGTATTTGAGCTGAGTCAGGTATACTCTCAGCAGCCTGCAACTAATTCAGCAGTACAGGCTGTATTTCAGTAGGACTTCCAAGTCGGGAAGGTCTGCAGTCCTTTCATTTGATTTATAGTAGGGTTCATAAACTCTTAGGGCCATACTCATTAACATCCCAGTATCGCTGCTTAAGATATCCTGAAGCTCCAGATATCCGAATTTACGCCGTTTACCCATCCTCAACTAATCCTACTATTTTTCACCATAAACGTATTGAAGGGAGAAGCTTTACAAGCCGCACTTTTTGTATGATCCTCTAGTGAACCCCGGCTGCCAATCGTCTTTTCTTCAAAGTCATTTTTCTTTCTTGGAAGTCAACGAAAACATTCCAAAGGGTTGTGTTGTTTACATAATCCAACAGTGCTAATCATAAGAATAAGTGGTGTTTCGAAATCATGAAATTTGCAATAAAGCACAAGTCGAGAGTTGGGGTTTATCGAAAATTGCGACAATTTATCAACTCATTTGTTTTCATCAGTAACATGCTTAACGTTGGCTGCAACAATCCTTACAATTATGGAATGTTTTCGTTGACTTCGAATAAAGAAAATGACTTTGAAGCAAAAACGGTCGGCCTTTGCGGATCATCAGAATGCGGCTTATACAGCTTCTCTCCTGTTCAGTACGTTTATAGTGAAAGACATAGGAATACTCACGGATGTAGGTAGATAGTGTGAAATCCAGACATCTGGAACTTCAACATACAAAGCTTCTTTTGAGCTGCAATCCCCTCCTCGGGGGGTATGTTAATGCATGCGGTCCTTACTCTAATATTAGGTATACAAGTCATATACAAAAGAGGAGAGGAAGAGGGAAAGAGAGAACAAGTCAGGCACACATTTAGCTTGGATAGCAGTTAACCCACTTTTTAGTCGTGGCGATGACGCCATGAATAAAAAATTGATAGCATGCACAAATGGCCAGTAAGTTAATCCAGTATTATAGTTGCAGGATTAAATTGTCATGAATCAGAACAGAAAAATATTTCAGTAATGTAGTATACTTGAGCAAGTTCGCACAATACAGCAGACAGGCATGTAGCAGTATTGGTTAGATAGTATGTTCACATAGATTGTGGCAGGAGAAAAATGTGATAAGGGTTTTATCAGAATATTTTCAGCCGCGGCGGCACTAATATTAATAAACTATTTCAGCTTCTTATCAGCCTTCGAACGATTCCAGAAAACCCTCATACGGGAGCATTCACGTATTTTGTTGATGCACAGTTCTTGCACCAAAAATTAGAAAAAGAACCACTTTAAAAATGGTTTAAACGAAATCAACTTACACAATATGCTCGTTGTTATGTATAACAAAAGTAGTGTTTTATAGTTTACTCTAAAAAAACAATATCAAACAAAATCAACAGGCTGATTTTGTAAATCGAATTTCATGACTATTCCTAGAGCATCCAATCACTACCAACTTTTCCTAGTCAAAAAGAGTAGGTCATAAAACTAAGGAATTATATTTGAATTTGAATAGATGTTTTAGCAGTTTTGGCAACCAAAAATCAAAAATCACTTTTGAGTATTTCTCTTAATTAGCTCATATCGCTGCCATATGCCCTTAAGAAATTCTAGCTCAATAGAAAGCGCAAGATTTGCTCATTTTTTATTTAGCAAATCAGAATATTTCACTGATGCTGAAGAAAGTAACAGTGCACGACCTAATATATTCCATTGTGCACCTTAATTTGATTCGAATGAAACGAACGGTGGAAACGAGAAAAGTCATGGAACTTCTTCTGTGTTTTTAGTGTTTCCGGGAGAGTGGGAAGTGCAAGGTGCAAAACCACCTTCCATGGTTCTGTGTATCCGTAAACACATATATGCAAAGCATAGGTTAAATTGATTTATCCCATCTGTACGTACATACAACTAGATTCTGATATGATGAGAAAGCTTCACCTAAATAAAAAAAAATAAATCTCAAGTGATGAGAGTCTGAATGGGAATGTGACATTGAAGAGCGAAGGCAACGCTGTCGATAATGATAAATGTTACAAATAAAGTAAATATGAAATCATCTATCACGTATAAAGTGATGAAAATGCATTGTGGATTGACTGAAAATTCAACCGGGAAGAAGGTGGTTAGAAATTATACGGGGCAGTTGATGGGGGATAACAATGAAAGCTCAGCAGGAAGGATTTTCAGAAATAACAGGACAGTCACTAACAACAAGTAAAATCTGTGCTAGCAATATGACACGTGAGAAGATTATCGTTGAAGAACATAACCTTTGATTCAACTGGCTTGACGGCTGAAAGGCGGGGCTTTGTCACCTAGTTAAGGCAGCTCGCGCCCGCGACGCAATCTGCGTCTCTGTCGCGCGCGTGTTCTCTGATCACTTCCTAGCCTCAATTAGGTCACGAAGCCCCGCCTTCCAGTCGCCAAGCCACTTGAATCAAAGGGTAAAAATTGGATGATAACATTGGAGCTAACACTCATGGACACGAGGGCTATCGTCATCACCAAATTGAACACATGGCGCTTTGCCAACTATTAGCCGTTCCTCTTTTGGCGGTGTCACCCGTTGAACCGAAACCATCGATGGAGCCGCCGATTCTTGTTTGATGGTGAATCGCCTTGCTTTTCTAAATTTACGTATTCGTTTGAAAAGTAGTAAAGTCACAATATATCAGCTCACCCATTGCCACCAGTATCAGTTTCTATTTTCCTCGTAGGCGAAACTGATATGCGGAATCTCCTCGATGGAGAAGATGATCTTCCCTCATCATCAGTTGAGGAAATAACCGGTGAGGCCTGAATTACCTCACAAATATACGAGTTTACATGATATTGTTGTGTAATATTCCATAAGTTCTCTGGTCATGAAACCTGGGCATTGTCTTGAACTCGTAAAATAATGTTTAAGCTACGCATGTTAAGTTAAATGAAAAAAAAAACGTAACGCTAGACTGAATAAACAACTTGACAAATCTGCGTGGCTTGAACATTATTTCATAAATTCATTGTGTCATTCAATCATTTCATTTATCCCTTTGGCTCGAGTGGCATCAAGGAAAAGAAAAAATAATAAGCAAAACGTACCAATAAGTTACACTGCAGAAATAAAATCGTAGTAAGTGAATTTATTATTGGGCTCTTTTGGAAGTCTTTGACTACTAGTGAACTTTATAAATCAGATTCTAACTCGTATTGCTTCAGGGAGTAAATTCATCTATGTTATCATCATCATAATCTTTCTAAACAGCAATTCAAGCAAAGTGCTTGGTGAGCAAGAAAACGCATCAAACTTCTCTAAAATCAAGAGCTTCCAATATTCGGGATCCCATTTCAGCTGTAGTAAACATTAAAATGATCTGAGATAGTCATAGCAACTACCAGTTATTTTACTAACAGTTGATGTTGTTTCTCGCTTCAAAACGCAATTGATGGATAAACTTTTACCTCTTGCTCATACTTTCTGTGTGGAGGAATAGCTGCCTTTGGAATTGTGCTTGGATATCTTGTACTTGGACCAGGCTGAGGTTGTTGCTGAGGGCTAACAGCAGTACCAGAATGATGCACATGAGTTTTGTAGAAAGGTAGTGGCGTCCTGGAAAGGCTTGAAAATTCGGTAATACTACCTCAAAGTCAAAAACGAACAAAAAACTAAATGCAATAATACCACTATAGGTTTTATCACAAACTTTTTCAGCAGCTGCTCCTTTCTCGCTCGAACTTCCTCGATTGAAGGCCATGGTTGGAATGTCGAATGTATATTCTCAACGTTGAACCTATAAAAGTTCCATGAGGTCAGCATTATCATATTCAATCGTAGCGGGAACGCTGACCCGTTGTTGTTTCCATTCGCACTCGTGCCGGCACCAGATGTGGAAGCAGACTGTGTTTTCTGTTGTAGTACTTCTTCATTTTCTTTGGTAGACGGTAAGCGATGAACTTCCGCTCGCATCTCTTGAGCATTTCGCATTTTTTGCGACGTAATTAGCCTAAAAGGATTGCTCGAGAGATTGAAAATAAGACCAAACAGAATGTGGAATGTATCCTCTCGCAAGAAATGTAGTAAAGTCTTAACCCCGCCCCCTCTTTTCTAAAAAAAAATTAACTCCATCACATGCTAGGGTTCACCTTCATTCAGATCATGGCACATGCTCACGACTGGTTAGTGGTTAGCTGATTATAGACTTAACCAAAAAAATTCACAAATAAAGAATTTTAAACTACGATAGTTCGTCATGAGAAAAAAAGAGACGGCAAGAGTAAGAGATCATTCGCAGAATTTTCTCATTGGTCATAGCTCAATGTTCATGGCATCTTTTGATGTGTTGTTTGTGAGCATGTATTGAGCCAGATTCCTACCGTATACAGGCATACAGTAAGAGCTTCAAGGCAGTGGCTCGGTTGCAATTACGAGCTTTCCTTCACTCCTTGGCCTTCTGGATGCGCTGAGTTTAGGGCTATGCTTGAAAAGTCAATAAAGTGCTTTTCATTTCGTTTTTTGGCCTTGAAGTTTGCTGGAAGGGATGGGCGAGCCATCGCCAACTGCGCGATTGGCTGCCTGAGTCGATCATCCAATTGCCGCCAAAATAGATGGAGTTACAGTATCCCGCATCCAGTCGGTGTTTTGGCGGGAATCCCACGCAAATGCTCCTTAGCAATCTTCAAGGCAAAAAACGTCAAAAAAGCACTTTTTGACTTTTCAAGCACAATCTCGGACTCAGCGGATCCAGAAGGCCATTTAGGTGCAAAAAACTCACACTCGCAACTTTCCTCACTGCCTCTAACTAGTATAATCTGATTCAAATCTTGCACGGGACAATTATGGTGGTTCTAGGCATGAATATGGATGTGGTAGGAAATTAAGCGAATTCTGTGATTGTGTCGCGAGTGAAACATCATGGGTTCTATACACCGCTAAAAAATTATTCGACTCGCCTACCGTACCCGGTCCCCCCCCCCCCCGCCCTTCACTGTATACAGGGTGTACCAAAAATGTGCCTACGTTTGATTGTTAATAATTCTTGTCATGAAGTCCTTCGAGAAGCTTTGGGTACCATTTTGTAGAACTGAACAACTTAATTTCAAAATATGGAGCGAATTACCGATAGCCCTTCATTACGCCGTTTTTTCGATGCTCTTAAGTGTGACTTCACCGTTTACAGAGCTTTACTCTTGTGCAAAGTCTGCTGTAAATCTAAGCTGAAACCAACCGAAATGGTCGAAAGATACTAAAGGTAAGATTTCATGACAAGAGAGTTTTTATCAATCAACAGTAGGACAATTTTTGAGACGCCCTGTATAATCAAGTGACGTGATTCATTCGTGACATGTATCAATTTTCACCTCAGAAAAAAGAGACCCATTCTTCAATTAAATTTGAAAGGTGTTACTGCAAAATTACTCTACACAAATATTACCCTTTGACAACGGAATTGGCGACTGGAAGGCGGGGCTTCGAGGCCTAATCAGGGTCAGAAACGAAGAGAACGCGCCAGCGAGAGAGACGCAGACTGCGTCGCGGGTGCGAGCGGCCGCCTTCCGCCCGCCAATCCTGTTGAATCAAAGGGTACAAACGACTCCTGATTTCTCAAATCCGGTTCTTTTACTCCACACCCCCCCCCCCCCCAATTCCCTACTTCACCAGTTTTCTCAACTGAAAAGATAAACAGTGAAGGTTGAGTGCTCCACACATTGCGAAACTACGTACAAAAAAACACTATGTAGGGTAAATAAACCAAATGTTCGTGATACAAAACACACGTGGGAGCTCCAGCGAGAGGATTGAGAGGACTGCCATCGTCGCGAGTCGCGCCACTAGCACAGCCACCAATGTGAGGATACTCGTAGAGTGATATGTAGGATAGTCTTTTGCTGGATCGCCGAGAACTGATGAGCAAAGGCGGCGGTACGATAGCGCTGGACGAGTCTTCACGTGATGGTCCCTGGTCGTCATTGGAGCCGGAAGATCCGGGTTGCGTCTCGCTTGGAAAGGCACGAGAACTCCGCAGCTGAGACATGATCTTCATCTCAAGAAGTGGTCGAAGCAGACTACTAAACAACATGCAGGTGAGTATAAAATCGGATTGACAACTCTACACACACTCTTCAATGCTGGATAATCTCAACGCATAAGTAGCAGGTGTTTTCGCTATTTATTTTAATTGCAAAAAAGCATTTCTTCTAGGCAAATGCTACCTGGGTAACTCAATATGTGCAAAAAGCGAAAATTCAGGTAAATCGAAGCACACAGCCTTTCAAAAACAATCAATCTAACATCATATTTTAGAAAATTGCAACAATTTCCTTGAAAAGTCAATGTTGACTGTTTTCATAAAATTAAGACGTAACAGAATTTTCATAGTTTTGGCTATTTGAATGCTTTTCAAAGCACTTCTTGATTTGGTCGTCATTCTTGAGTCTTCTAGACGTGCTAAAATTGTTTCAAAGCACTTCTTGATTTGGTCGTCATTCTTGAGTCTTCTAGACGTGCTAAAATTGAAAAATTGCAGAAATATCAAATATCAGGGATATTACTTCGGACCAATGAAAAATGTTGCATGGGAGGGGTTGGCAAGTCAACACAAGAGGCGCGATTGGCTGGTGAAGCAGAAATGGGCGGGGCTTGAGCCACGCGCCATCCTTCTAGAAGAACCAGCCGATCGCTGCAAAAAGGGCTGATTGGCAAATCTCCCCATAGGACACTTTTGCATGGTAAAACGAGTTTTTGAAGATTTGCAAGCTCCAAGGGATATCTTTGAAGCTCGTCCATAAGTCCTAGAAATGATTAAGGAGTAAAAGTCGAGGGTAAAACAACGGAATTGAAACAAAAATCTACTCTTCATCTCACTTCAAACTATTGGCGAGGAATTTGACAGTGCGTGTTAACTCATGCAGGTTAGTTCAAAAAAAAAATGCAAGGGATGTATAAAAAACGAAAAAATGATATACACACGAGGAGATTTGGCTGAAAACAAAATAAATCTTTCACTAACCGAACTTCCTCTGGTGTTGCGATATCTATAACATTGCTATGCGCATCTATGCTTTCCGTTTCCGATTCACTTCGAGCCTTCAATACATGTATAAATGATATCTAGTGCTAACTACATATTGAGAAAAAATGGAAAAAAACCAACAATGCTGGAAAATCGCTGTGTGCCTTTGTGGACGGAGGCAGTTTGAGGAGGTGTGGTGCCATTTGCAGGTGAGCCTTCGTCTTCTTCAGCTTCTTCTCTTTCGTCTAACGAGCTGTAAATTTAATTATTTATCAATTTACTTATTTATTGATTGCCCTTAAAGGTGCGCCATCGACTAATAAAAAAGTCTAGGCAATAGTCTCAGCAAAAAATAGAACTCAGATAAAACCATAATAAAAAAATTGTTCTCAGTTTTGTTACTACCAAATCAACATAAAATGAACTGGAATTATAAAATCCAAATTTGGAACTCGTTCTACTTTTTTTGTAATACTCTGATCCTAATGCTTGGAACTAGCAATAAAAATTAATATCAGGTCTTACCCTAGTGATGGAAGAAAATGCATGGCCGCCACCGTTTCAGAAGTGCTCGAGGGCACCGGCGCAGTCATTTTGTGCACAAACGTTGGCGACGGTGATTCTTCTTGATCTTCTTCCTCACTTTCTGTGGAGTCTTCAGCACGAAGCGGCTCTTCTTGTAACTGAAATGAACAATTTGTGAACTGCTGCTCGTCAAACTGCGAAAATCGTACGTCATTGTAAGCTCTCCAAGGTTCCCGCCTCTGCTGTTCGATAATAGGCAAGTACTGCATGATTTTTCTATGATCACGATCCCTGTCCTCAATCTTTTTCTTTCCTCCACCAGCCAATTCAAAGATCTTCTTCTTTTCTTCTGTGCGCTCCTAAAAAATTCTGATTTGATGAAAGGGAAGCATTTGAAGTTGTGAAATTAGCCTACATGTATCAACTGTTGTTGTAGATCCGTATTTGCTTCACGTAAGCCTCTCACTAGGGACACCAAAAAGTAGATGATAAGCCTGAAACAGATGATGGATGACGAGACATGGAATACTTTACTTTTTAATGGAGTTCAGGTATAGTGGAGAAAAGGACAGAGATACGAGGAGTTTTGAAATCTAACTGAATGCCTTAGAATTACATGGATTATATGGAAAGGTGCGACCACAAGGAGAATTTAGAAGTAACCATTCTCAAAAGAACTTGTTGGTTGGACAAAATAGTAAAGGTGGCTAAAATTTGAATAATTATGGTAAATATTCGATTACCAAGCATTGTGACTTTAATCTCATAATGAGTTCAATAAATTATACAGTATTGAATCGCAGACGCATCATAGAGTTCATGTTTGGATTAAAAAAAATTATTCGTATTTTAGAATAAAATTTTAGCGGTGTGCTGAACTTCAATAGCATAATTCTTTTTTTTATTTTCTAATGTGGACATTATCTCAATCAATATAATCAATCGCGTTCTTGTGCGAAACATAGATTGAGAACTATCTAGAAAAGCCAAAGCAAAGACAACGGATTAGAATTCTTCGGAAAAACAAGAATCTTTATCTACTTGAAATTTGTAAAGCAAAATAGAATATGAACCTTTTACCATAGAAGCTCTCAATATGAACCTTTTACCATCGAAGCTATTTGGTAGAAAAAAAATAGAGTAACTGAAAAATGCTTTAGGCGCACGAAATTGAACTCACATCAAAAATAGTAGAATTGGTACAACAATTCCGGGAGAGGCAACATATCGGATGTAACCTAAATATGATGGAGGCACTCTTTTCTCAATCTCTTTGGTAATCACAGTGTAGAAGTGATCATGGCGCCTAGAAAGAAATTTTTACGGATAATTTTCAAAGAAAAATTATGTAATGGTAAGAACGTACGCAAAAGGTCCGCATTTCCTGGATGGCCTCGTCGATGCTATGACATAACCAACGGGTAACGTACAGAGGAGGAGCCATAGAAGCAGAATCAAGAGGTAAAAATTGCTCGACCTAAATTGTTTCACTTCTGTAACTCAAAAACTGTAAGAATAAATATGAAGATATGGGACTTCGAAAGTTTTAGACAAATAATGAAATCAAGTTTTACTCACCTACTGGCTCGAAAAATTTCTCTTGCCGGCACATTACAAGTCATGACAGCCCATCCACGGATGTACATGATTATGACCAGCTTGATGTTGTTTAGAGCTGGTAGGAGGGGTGTAAAGAACAGCCCAAGCCAGATCATACCCTGGTTGTTGATAATGTGCAGCACATTCTCTGCCACTTTGAACTCGCCATATTCGGGCTGAAATGAGTTTTGAATCATTTTAAGGAACGAAAATTCTTATTCCTTGGCAGTGGTAGTCATCAAAGGCAATTCCTATAATTGGGTTTCACTTTTAAACTTGAATCCGCGAGATCTTGAAATCTTTACTTATAAATGCCTTTTAGCTATTGTCTTTTTGCAAGTCTAAAGGTCAGAATTTTGCTCGAACGAAAAAATCAAATGCTGTCAAGTTACAGTTATGCCAGACATCTTGAGCTTCTTTCTAACAGATTGAGAAAGGCAAAGCAATCAAGTTACACAGTTGAGGACGATATTATCTGCAAAAAAAAAGAAAACACTAGCTAAACTCACGAAAGTGGTCTCGATATCCCAACACCACCAGGCCGAGCAGTATTTGATCCACAGACCACGTAGGAAATCGATCACAATAATGGAAACAATCGTCACGATGAGATCCATAGTAACAAGTTTGACAATTTCCTAGAATTTCCTCAGTGAAAGTAGAACACATATGTTATGAGAAATTACCTGGCCAATGATGGTCTCCCAGCAAATATCGCTGTTATAGACTTCGTCTGCCGAGCTTTTTCGTTCGGCAGCAGCAGGTAAACGCATGGTTTCTGAAAATTTACTTTCACTTAGGCTTGCTGGTATCATATAAGAGATTAATATCTTTAGGTATGTTACTAGATAAACAGCTTAGCAGTGGAAAACCTTAAAATGAAGTTTTCCAAAATTTAAAAAAAATTCAAATACAGCATTCAACTGAAAGATCATATAGCTCAAAGCTATATGATCTTTCAGTTGAATGCTGTATTTGAATTTTTGAATTTTGAATCTTTCAGTTTAGCTCAAAGCCCATGTTCCTTGTATGTCCTTGCTGCCAGTAGCGTCCCTTCCGCGGAACATTCATATGGGGGGTGGGGATTGAATTTTTTCGAACATTCCCTTTTTGTTTCTCGAATGCCAAGGACAACTGGCCTTATATTAACACTATTTTATAGTTTAAATGGTATACCTTGAGTGCGAAAGATAAAGATAAAGACAGGAGGTTGGCTGAAGTGATAACTTCTTTTACAGTTTTATCAAACATGAATTCTTATTGATTCAAGAAGTATTCAACTCGTTTACAGATAACAACAAGTCACGTTCTGTGAAACAATAGATCACTTCCATAAATTTCGCTATTCATTCTTTGGCGGGGTATTACGATCACTCTCATTATTTTGAGGAATTTTGTAGGAGGAGAAGCTTGTGTGTAGCTGTACTGCTACATATTTTGATGCAGAAAAGCTCGTCAGATTCTTCAAGGAAATAGGAGTTCCCTTTTGATTTTATTCGCAAAGTATAAAACATAGTCAGTTTCACATTTGGTTGACCCAACACATACGTCGGCAAACTAATTACGTATCTTCTGACTTGATTTGTGAAATAATTTCAGGAAGAAAATTGGTCAACTAACAGATTCTAAGCAGTTTCAAGGCAAACATTTTTGCTAAAATGACGTTTGTGTTTTATGAGCTATATACAGTTTCGGTGACAGAATCTGTGGCATGAAATTGTATCGCTTCGACTTACTGTGACTTTTGAAGTTAAAAATCGAAAAATTGCAAAAATATTCAGAGCTTTGGTTGAAAATGTACGGCAATTAGAAAGTTACATTATACTTACCATTCAGGTCTAGGAGTTCCTCGATCGCACCATCATCATCAGGCGGATCGTCATCGTTTTCGGCATCAGGCTCAGCTTGGAGGTCACTCTGAAAACGTGACTGTGGTGAATTTCTTTTCAGCCCTACTTACACTTTACTTTCACTTACTCGATTTGGAATCATCGGAGCTTTTACTTGCTTAGTAGCAGCAGTCGTAGCAAGGGTCCTTCTGGTGGCAGGAGGTCTCGTTATGCGTACTGGTGGTCTCGTCACCCGTTGATTTTCGCGTGCGAAATCCGGGCCACCGAATTTCTAAATTTATTGAAGGTTACATTCAAGTGATATGATTCAAATCAACAACTAGAAATCAGAGAACGATTATAGAGGCAGTGTACTTCAAAAAATATTCGCTTCTCGAAGCTATTCTCCAAGACATAGCTTTGCTTCCTTGGTTAAGCTGAGCAAATAATTTATACCACATGCACAGTTGTATGATTGATGTTGTGATAAAATCGTGATAAAAAGTGGTAATAAATAACAGCTTAAACTTGTCCCAGTTGTATTGAATTGGGATTAAACGCTCCTTTTTCATGTTTGATGTGAAAATTCTACAACAATGACGATTAACCGACTCTGATGACTATATCAAAATCTCATCTAGTGCTTTCAAATACTTGCATAAAGAAAATTCTTTGTTACTTGTAAATCCATTTTATAAATTGATCATTAATCCAAAGATATTGGCATGAAATATTTCTGCTGTTGTTTGCAAAGTAACTCAGATGTTTAAAAGAAAAAACAACTTTGATAATATCATCCCAAAACGATTTCAGTTGTACTCTTGTATACCATGCCTAAGGGCACGTCTGGCACAATTATCGGTGGATGGAATAACACAAAAAATTCATATTATGCCTTTCCATATTGGATAAAAGTCTACATACAGTTTTATAGCTTTCTCCGCAATAAAAAAACTAAGAGCCCTTTTCCCTTAAAGAAAATTTCCGAAGAGAACGCATTGAAATTACCACCTAAGGCCGCGGGCATACCTCAAGCGATTTCAGTCCCTTAAATGCACAGCATGTATCACTTGCGCAGGTTGATGAAATGTCGTACTATCTTCTGTATATTCAGAAACCCCTTACGAAATTACGAACATTTGTAGTATTGCCAAACCGCATCGAGACTGAAATCGCGTGAGGTAAGTTCAGGGCCTAAGGAAAGGAACGAAATGTAGCTTAGGTAGGCTCCGACCTTCACTGACATAATTTCTTCTATACCACATACTTTTCTTCACGAACCAGAAAACAAAGAAATAGTAATTCTCTCTGAAGAACAAGTGAGGATGCGAAAACATTGAACTTTTTGCTCAAATCTTACAAGTACATAGCTCACCTCCTTCACTTTTCCACGTTCATGCGGTGGGAATGTTCTTGGCGGTGGCGTGTAGATGGGCAACGGATCAGGTCCGATCCGCTTCGCTTCAAAAACCTTTCTCAAGGTTCCATTTCGTAAAATCGCGTACGGGTTGTTAACGTTAACTGGTCCAAATTGAGGTGCAACCTGATGTATTTTAGAAAGACCCTGTTAGTAATATCTAACAAAAACCCCTTACAGTGAACGGAGTCGTCGACACGCCTCTGGTTGTACGAGTTTGTTCAAAACGTTTTGTGCTTTTTGCAATGAAGCGAAGAAGGTCCGTACGATTTTCAAATGTTCTGCTAGCATATGGCGGAGGACGTGGGATATTCTTAAATTATACTGTCAACTGTAGTCAAAACGAAAAAAAATCTGAACTTACAGGGTTCCTTCCGCCCAACTGGCGCTTTGCTCTAAGCAGCTCCAGTGCATCAGGTTGTTTATTTCGTATAGCACCCATTTTGTCGAATAAAGCTACTATCAATGTGAGATAATTCAGCACATATAAAACAAGAACTCTGAAAAACGTCACTTGAAAATTCTAAATGGAAATGGAATTGCTAGTGAGGTAGCATTCAAAGTTGCCGCAACGCTGTGCCAACGTCGTGCCAGCGCGTTACCACTCTGTGGACGGGCCATTCATCGACCCACGTTCCGGCACGGCGCTGGCACGGTAAACTCTGGACGCTGTCAGCAGAAATGTTTTTTGGGCCGATGTTGTATGCTTTTTTCACAATACAGTAATCAGCAAAGAATAGCATCAATTTCTTCTAAAAATAATTTTTCAAAAATTATATACCTGGTGAGATGAGCTCGCAAAGCGGTCCGTGGATGATAGTTTTCCAAACGACCAATAAGATCAAAAATCATAGGAAAGACGTGAGTAATTGTCGCCACAATCGAGGGAACCTGAGGATTTTGGGATCAATTATTTCTATAGCCCCAACTATTTACATTAGAATACCTGATTCTTAGTAAACAGATTTCCTTCCTGTTCAACGGCTGTTTGCGATTTTGATACAGCAAATGAGATACAGTATATAGAGAATGCAAGCATTCCACATATAACAAGATTTGCTATTACTCGTAGTGTAAATTGTAGGCAGCGAAAATTCGAGCCAAGTGAGACGCGACAATCAGCAATAGATTCCTATAGAAGGAGATGTCACATAATACTGCGCTCTAACGACAATTTTAGCGAAAAGGAGCAAAACTCACCCTCAACTTAATAACTATCGCCATGACTGTGTTGCTTGCCGTCTCTTGATTACCGATTGTGTAGTCCCACCCGGTGAAAACCCGCCAATTGAATATGTACTGTTCTGCCTTGCTTCCGGACAGTTTCGACATCCGAGCATTGGCTGCCATCCTGTAAATAACTATTTGGAATGAATAAATAATTCGTTCCCAACTCTCGAATATAGCACGCATGATTTCTCCAAAATCGCGGCGATACGCGACCTGGCAATCTGCCAGGTGTTCACAAATCTACCGCTTATGGAATATAATGCACCTACAGAAATTTATGAAGAATAGTAGAAATTGAAAATCGCGCTGCAACGAGGTACGACTGATCCCTAATCGTCTGTAAGCGCGGACCAATTAGCGTTTAGGAGTACGGTAGGGTATACGGTCTCCGGACTTTGGAGGCGTATCTATTAGCTACTAATAAACAATATGAAATGCTGCTTGATAAGAGCATAACTGGGGCCTCCCAGTCAGTCTCCACAGGACATTTTACACAAATTCAGAGAGCCGCGCTTTGCCTGGACAGTGTTTTCGATACTTTCATATTTAGCGTCCCATATAGGAAAGGGTCCCTCGAAAGGGGCAAGGGGTCACAACGCCACAATCCTTAGTGGGAAATCTTTCAGAATCAAAACCTAAATCGAACATGCGAAATTTGATTAAACGTGTTTTGGAACATTTTCCATGATTCCTTACAATGCTTTTGTGAAGTGCACTGTCTCTTTTTCAAGTCAAGCATAGAAGATTGTTGAGGGAAAAGTTAAGAAACTATGGAAAGAATTTTACGAACCAGTCTTGCATGTCAACCTATATTGTTGCAGCTAGCATACAGTTGATAAGTGCAGCAAAGGCTGGTCATACAATAAAATTCTGATCAACGAGTACATTTTTAGACTTCTAAATTTTTCAGATTTTCCGTGTTCTATTTGAAACACGTTTCATCAAATGTAGGGTTTCTAAGCCTTTCGTCCTCCCTTTGCCTACATTCACCATTCAATCCTTAATCTTATTGTTTGTGTCAGCATAAACAAGGCAATAATTTGATACTTTTAGGGATCAATTCGCTTTCATCCAAAGTTTTAACGAAAAAACAAACTAGCGGCCAGCGAACAAATAGCGAAAAAAAGCGAATCCGGGTTAGGAGATCATCATGATAGACCATCCTATTTTGGTCAAACTCAAGCAAAAAAAATCATCTTCATGAGTTCTGAATCATTACATTTCTTGCAAGATCATGTGCACTTCCAAGAAACAGAAACTATAATTGACAAGTATAGGACATTTTCTAAGTAATTTTGAGTAATTGACAGGAGCCAGACGTGCTGTTTCCGTCAGGTGATGATGTTGCGAAATATCATAGTAAAATTTCACACTTCACTCATATCTTGAAATCGAACGCGATTTGGGAAGATATCTGAATTAAGAAAAACGATAGAAAAATTTAGCTGCATTGCAAAATGAAGCAAGTGAAGATCAGTGATTAGATGAGCAAAATGATATAAATCGTAAGAACTGGATAAAAACTGAATCATAGTCCCATTTTCATGAATTATTGCAGAAATAAGCTTGAATTGTTAGTGGCAAAACATAAGCAACTCACTTTCTAAGAATAGCGAAGAAACTATAAGCGAATATGAATATAGTAACTAAAAAATATGCCAGCGGCAGAGGATATTTATTTCCAAGAAATTCATCATCTGAGTAGTACCCATAGAATAGTGGTGAGTATCGAAGATAACCCTGAAATAAAACATTTTTACAAAAACAAAAAAGGACTTGCGGATGAAACGGTGTAAAGAAGAAAAGAGCAATTATTAGCCTTGTTGATGACTTTGCTTTTTGAGAGAATTTAAAATAAATTAAGACCGGAATCTTGTCCAAGATTCTGATAACTTGTCCAATAATAATAAAAATATTTTTTCAATATCAAACCCACATCATAATGCCAAACAACAGCTATTTCATCAGCATGTATTCGCTCATTGTGAGGGATTTGTTTCCTAGTTTCAGTCCGATTTCTTCTATTTTCATCAGCAGCAGCGTCAGCGAGGGTCTGAATTGAGCGATAATATTTCAGGTAACACAAATCATAGGTATTGATTGCTAGAATGAAAGGCTTACCTCTGGCAAAACTACCAGCGCAAGAATAATTAACGTTATAATTACATTAACAAAAACGATCCAACGAAGGAATGTGAAATACGAAGATACGACAGAGCCAAAATGACCTAAAACAATTTAATTTCCACATGAAAGATCTTCCACTAAGGATCTTTGTTATTTGTGATGGGCAAACTGAGTCAGTTCCCCATGGAAAAAGCAGAAATCGACAATGATTTATAGCGTAGTGAAAGCCACCATAGCAAGAATTCATTTCTTCTTTCTCAAATCACTCACTTTCTATACGTTTAATCTTTCCTTCCCACGGTATCAGGTATGTTTTAAAATTTGCAAAACTTCTTTTTAACAATCGCATCCGCTTCCGTAGTTCTTCCATGTAAAGATGCGTTCGAGATACACGTGATTCGTGTTGTTCCAGATATTTTTGTGCTAATCTGAAAATTAACACAATTTTCAAAGTGTGGAAATACTTGTAGAAGTCCAAACTTGCTTTAGGGTACGTTTTTTTCTTGTCATACTCCATGGTTGACATCTTAGTTTGCCAATAACCTCTTTCTTTTGCCGAATCCGCTCTAGGAGCACCTAAACAAGTTTTAACTTCATAAACATAGAAATAAAAGTTTCCTCGCTTTCCAAAAATGTCTACGATACTTGTTTTTGGCACGACGCATAAAGCTCGGCGACATTCCTTAGAAAAACTAAATTGGCTGTACGGCAATTTTTTCAATCAGAGAGTCTTTTTGGGGATTGAGGTCTATGAAGATGGCAAAGCTTAGCTATGATGAATAACAGAGTGGAAATTTTGATGGGAAATACAAAATTTCAATTTCAAGTGAATGCAGTGGTTTTTCGGATTAAAGGGAAAAGTTAGAATATCTAGTTATAAAAATAAAAGTAGCATTTTGGGCTTGGAAATACATCCAACATCTAAAATAAATAGATCAAAATGCCCAGATACAAAGAAGAAAAGAATTGGATAAAATATTTGCTTGGAAAAAGTGCAGAAATTTTTTTTAACATACTCACCTGTCTTGTAAGTGGTTTACCGTCTTCGTCCGCGTCTTCTTTGTGATCCGACTTCCCTAGGAATGCATCACTTTCGCTGAAAATAATATATTTTCAGGCTTTCTGAAGTTTAATCTCAACTCATCGGTTTTCAAAGCTTTTCAAGTTGTTCCTAATCGCGATATTTTTTGCCATTGGCACAGAATTCTAATCAAGCATCACGCAATAAAACTTTGCGTCTCCCCGTCATTTTCTAGTGTGAAAATAACAATGTGAAAACGGTCAATGGTCCGTTAGACAAGCCATAAAATACTATCAAGAAAACACATGCAGAGCGGTTGCTGGTTGTAATTGGCTCAGCTGCTGCTGCTTTTGCGGGGCCCCCCTTTCTCCACACTGGAATCGCGATTGTGTGACGCTGTAAAACGTAACGTTGTCATTTGACACGAGAGACACGTTTTTTTCTTGTCGATTGGATGCTAATATTTGAAGTTTTTTGGTTGATCCAGAATTTGAGGGTTCTGAAAAAATAGGAAAAAAATTCATTGCAAAACAAATTTTGAGCGATTTGGCACAGGTCACAGAGATAAGCATATTCCATCAAAGTCACAGACAGATTATCAAAATTAATCATAACGGCGCTCTGTTGAAAAAGAAAAGTTCAATTATAAAACCCTTAGCTTACGAATAAAATCTTAAATTCGAAAAAAAAGTCTTGCGGAATTTAAGAACGCGAAGATTCTCATAACAAGGATATCACATGACATGACGTACTCGCGTCCCCTCAACCCCCCCCGGGCCCGCGAACCCGTTGCCCTGTTCCTTCACCCAAAATAAGAATATTCATATTGTTTAGCTTCATCTATGCCACAAAAAGTTCTTATTGGAACTCTTTATTGAGCCTTGCGTAGAAGAAGAAAATTGTTTCAATTATTTTTCTGGCATAGAAGAAGCTAAACAATATATCATCATCATTCCGAGATTCAAAGAAAAAGGAACTTATAAAAAAATATTCAATTTTTGCTCACTCATGATCATCGTCTCCAGATGCGGTATCGCTATCACTGTGCTTATGATGATGATGATCAGCTGAGGGGAGACTTATCTTCCCTTTAGTATTCTTACGAAATACAGTAATCAAGTCATGAAATACAGAAGATCGTCGCTGGACCATCGGATGCGAGGCAAGGCCTTGCGGTAGGCATTCAGCCTCATCTTGCACAGGCATGATGAGTTGTAAAAAAAATTGGTCCACTTGAAAGTGTGAACTCAGAAATGTGAGAATAGCTGGGGGTCACATACTACGATTTTTTTCTTGTGGGTCTTGCAGGGAATTGAGAGGTGCTGGTATACTGTAGGACCGTAATCAGCTACGGTAATATGGGCAACGAATGGAACACGGGGCCCCGTGGAACACACACGCGAACAATGCTGGCAGAGTTTGATGCAACTGATAGCTGGTGATATGACGGGGGGCCCGACACGCCCCTCGTGCTCTTCCATCATTCCACGGGAGCACGTCCGGATCTCGTGTCGGCACCCGCTATGCGAAACACACTCACACACGTACCCGCGCTCTTCGAGGTCTCGATATGAACATGTTGGACGAATGCCAAAAACATTTCGGGATTCTTAAGTTGTTGTTCGTTGTTCAACGATTCGCCAAACACTGAAGCGTTGACAAGTTTGAAGTCTAGACTGATAAATTCTTCACTCATATGCACTTTGGAACTAGAAATTGGTGATGATCTGTGATTTACCTAAGAAATTTTGAAAAAAAAACTATTATCGTTGAGTTAATTTCTTGCGTGTTCGCGGACAAAGTAATTTTTCCTTACTCCACAGAAAAAATCTGCTAGAATTGCAGCTTTCTCTCATAAACTTTTTGCTTATACAACATTATTTCAAAAATATTTATGGAATGAGTATTTCTCGAAATCATAGAAATAAATTTTGCACCTGAGAACTCGTCTGGATCGTTACAAGTCTGTTAAAAGACTAAATTATTTCCAGGTTTTCGTCAGAAATCTAAGGAGAGGAACATTTTCAAACTTAGTGGATAGCAATTGCTTCGTAGCTCAGATTGTCAGAAATATTTTGCGCAGATTTATAACAAATTGTACAGTTCTAAATTAGTTGCATTCAAAAGAACAAAGACGTGCTCTGTCAGGCTAAAAAAGTTTTGCATCAAGTACTACTATATAGATAAGCCTTAAATTGAATTAAATTTTTTCAGTTCCTCTCTTTATTTGATTTAAATTAGGCCCAGGAGTGCATGATGGTCTGTCTACCTTGGGTTTACTAAGATGTCTTTATTATTGTACGTGCAATAAACCCCAATAAATATAAATTAGGGAACTCTAATATTAGTTTGTTCCGAAAATTCCTTTTACTTATGAGTCCCATAACTTATCCCCCCCCCCCGCCTTGTACAAGTCTAAAAATACTTGTAATATATAGGTATCCACGGTGACCTTGGATATCCCAATTAATCGCCTTCATTTGTCATAAGATTCTCATGAGAGATGTGGAAAAAACTCAATAAATGGAGGATACTTACTTTGATTTACGGTGTATAACGAAAAGTTTTTTGCAAGGAAAGTTTTGGTTTTTTTAAGAATTATTTTTTGCAGGAAGTGCAGAGGTGAGGGAAGGATCGACGACTTGGAAGTTAAGGGGTAGGTTTTTGGAAACTAAAAGAGGTAAAGAAAGGTTTATGAAGGAACTAAATCAGAAATTTATCATAGAAAAATAGAGTTGAGATAAAATTCCCCACTCTGAAGAGGAATAATCAATTTTTAGTTATTTAGAAGTGAGGAAAACATATAACCGTTGAAATCTTACTTCTCAATTACTTATTCAGCTTTCGTCATAATTTCTACGATAATCTGAGAACTTGTTGAACAGACAATGACACATTGTCGCCATCGATCCCCAAGATAATAAATCTCCAATCTCGTAGTAATCTCAACAATTGCAAATTATGTTTTTCTTCTTGCTATCAGTTGTTGTGTACCTGGCACCTGAGCGATTAATTCTACTGCGCTCGCTTGTCAGGGATACCCATGTCGTCACTGAATCTCATTTTTTTATCGGAAGCACTAACAGATGGTAGGAGTTGGGGTATGGATTCATGTATTTTCATGCTGGAATGGGAGCCTTGAAGAAAATTTGGGGGGGGGGGGGGTTGTTTTCTGAGAAGATTGGAATTGTTCTTCGTCTAGAATAGAAAGGCAGAACCAGACCAGGGCTCTGCACAGATGGCTTATAACCAAGCTGGATATCGTTTTTGGGACAGAAAATAAAAATAGTGTTATAAGTTTTATTACTTCGATATTGTTCACTTCCACTAGAAGAAGTTTGAGGGTGGTTGAAAATTATTTTAAAAAATACAAGTTAGACGTTGGTTTAAAGTTACCTCGTGCCGAGCCCTGAACCAGACGCCACTCTATGGACCTCGAAAAAATTCATTTTCCCGCCAATTTCACGACTTGCGAACAAGCCGCTGAACGATGTAGTCGTCGCGTATGTGGGCGTGTGACAATTATAAATGAGTGATCGAAGGGCCACTTGCTAGCTGGTCGATATGACACATCTCGGATCACGTCAATAAATATCCTTGCGCAATTTCTGCCACAAAGCGATGAGCTAAATTGATTCTCACAAGCGAGTTCCGCAAACTTCAAGTGTGGGAAATAAGTTATCACGTGGCTACCCAGTAAATTATGTGTTCAACAGCCTTTTCATTTCACACTTACTAAATCAACCAGCAGTTCCCAAAATTTTGAAGGGGTCTGCGATGAGTATGAGGGAAATAAAAACATGGACATATTATTGAGAAAAGCTACAAAGTCACCTCCTACTAGTTCTTTTACATTTGCGGATAAAACATAACCCCTCCCCCCTACTTTAGAATCGCAAGTAGAAAAAGTTGAACCATTACCATCCCGCTCAATTCTTACGGTACAGCTGCGCTTCTTTAGCAGAATAGAACCCACACCCTTTGATCGAAGAGTAAATTTTTGATTCTGTTCGGTGCGAAAACCCATATAAAAAGAAATAATACTGCTTCCATACATCAGGCAAAACAAAAACAAACGAGATCCCGTTTAATTAGCGTTAGAACATTTATTTTAGAACTTCTAAATGAACGTTATAAGCATTATAAGCAATCTATAAATGTAAAAAACCTTCTCAGCGCGTTCGGTAAGATGTTTAGTAGTTCTTTAGCAGTTCTGTTTAGTAGCCCAAATTGACCTCACAATTAAAAACAAAAACCATCTATCAGAGCAAGCTCAGTTTCTGCTCAGTCTGTTAGTACAAGAATAAGTTCGAAACTGGTTAGTGAACAAATCAAAAGAGAAGTCAGATAGCTTAAGTTGGCATGCGTTTCATCGGAAACTGTAGGCATGGATCCTCATTTGCCAGTTTAACTGCTGGTCTCATGGATGATACGAAAGGAAAAACGGAAATGAAAGAATGACGAGACTTTGCGACCCTTTAACTAATCCATTCTACGAAGAAAGATTATACATAATCAAATAATCCTACCAAGAAATTAATCAACACATTATTAATCAAGCCTTATATTTCTCATTGTTCTCATTCAAGTTGTTTGAGTGACCAAGCTTCGTTACTCATAGGGCTTGCCCTTTGCCCTTGCAAGTCTCAACGGAATCTGCTTTTCAGTACTATAGTACAAGTCTACGAAGTCGTTCACGAACGAAAGCTCATAAACGGAAGAAAAACGATGGCATTCAATTCTTCAATGTCTGTTGCGCATAAGGTTTGTGTAGAAAAAAACCGAGTCACCGTCAGTCCCGTAACAAAATAAAATGGGCTAAAACTCCTTCTGTACTCGAAATGGTCACTTAGAGTTAGTGTCCTTAGTTTACTAGATTTCAAAAATGTAAGTGTGCGATTTCGACAGCTGTTGAATAATGGCCATAAAGGGCACACTTTTACTTGAGATACCTTTATTTTCGCATAATTTACTTACTCTTTGTTTGTAATATTCAATACCAACCAATTTGCAGATATCGACACACTCAAAAAGAAGAAAATCATAAATAAAGTGTTATTGCTTTCTAACTAGCT